ACTCGAAGCGTGAAGCTAATTAAAATAATATTTTAATATATACATTTCTCTTAATTTTTTTAGAATTTTTAGAGCGCAATTGCAATTTTCTTTTATTTGCCTAGTTAGGTATATTTGGTTGATTTATTGAATTATTATTTTAAAAGAATTTATTTTGTTTTTAACTTGTTAGCTGTTAAAACAAATCAAATGGCTCAGGTTTTTATTAATTTTTGATGGAACTTTTTAAAATTAATTTTTTACAAAATTTTTGGAGGACATTAATTTTTTAAATAAAAATAGTTCAATTAAATATTTTTTAGAGCCTTTCTCAACGTTGCAGAAAAATGTTACCTTCATTTTTCAAAGGATATATTTGTCTTCTTTCCTTACTTTTTCTTGCTTTGGTTATTTACTACTTTCGAGTGCCATTGCGAGCTTATGAAAAGTTTGAGTCAATTGTCTCTGTTGGCGTTTATTTTAACAATTTGACGCCTAAATTTTATGTTGCATTAACTGGAACTTCAAGTCTAGTATCCGGCATTATTTTGATTTTTGAATGGTGGTACTTTAAAAAGTTTGTTTTTTTTTGTTTACATTAGATAAATTTAAATATTTACCCCAAAAATGTAAAAGGCTCGTGGAAATCCACAATCACGATAATCCTTTATTTTACTGCTCATTAATTTTCCTGGGCTTCAGTTGCGTTTAACTCTAATCCGTTTTATTTTTAATTATCGAAGTTTGTCTAAAATATTGAAACCTCGTTTTTTCGTCCGATATCGAAATATAGGGTTGGGGATTTCGAGTCGGGCCGATGTTAGGGTCATCTTTTTCGGGCCTCATTTTTATCGGGTCGGCCCGACCTAGTCTTTTTCGGCCTTCATTTTTTCCGGGTCAAAGTTCAATGCCCGACTCGATCTTTCGGACCGGGTTGGATCGGGCCCTCAACCCTATCGACATATATGATCGTTCTTTTAAAATCAAAAGAAAAAAGCTAGATTTTTGTTAATTTAAGAAAAAATTTTTTCAAATAAAATAAACCAAAAAGCAAATAAATAAAAGTGAACGGCGACTGAATTTTATTCTTCTCACGCCTTTCTTTTTCTCATTAAATTTCCAATTAACTTGTTAATTATATACACGCTTAAACTTTTTTCTTGTTGCCGAGGGCAACAAATGGGTGGGTAAAAGTCAAATAAAAGGCCAAATTGAATTTTTATTTTAACGAAAGTGAGAGGCAAACTTTGTTTTTTCAAAAATAAAAATAATTTTCAATATTTAATTATGTTAACTGAAAGAAAAAGTGGGTCTAAAAATAAAACGTTCCTGTCAAATTTATTGTTTGTATTTTTAAAATAAAAAAATAATTTTCGAATTAATTTTGAAATTTTAGTAATGCTATTGATAACGCTTTGGATGGAAGTGATGATGGAAGCGATTCAGAAAGAGAAAGCATTGATGGAAAACAGCATGGTTTTAATTATATTTACTTAATGGGAAAAATTTTAAATTGTTGGAATTAATAGGACAAATTATAAAGAAAAATTAGAAATTCGTCTTTCTTATTTTTGTTAAATTATTTTCGATTATTTTTGGAATCCATAATTTCTCTAAAATTTTCTTATAAATTTATATCTTTTAAACACCTATTTCTTGAGAATTTTATTTTTTGAAAAATTTTAAAATTTAAGAACTTGAAGAATATGAACGTGAAAATGAATGTAAAGTTTGGCGAAATCCAATGGCTCTTTTTCGAGGTGCAGAGTACGGGCGTTTTCACAGAGAAACAGGCCAAGAGCCTCTAACCTATTATGATTTGAATTTATCAGCACAGGATCACCAAACATATTTTTGCTGTGAAGCAGATGCTGGGAAGGAAGATTTGGAAAGTTGTTAAATTTATTAAAATTTTATAATTTTTTAATAATTAAAGTAATGTCGTTAGCTTGGAGAGAACGTGACAGTCAAGTACGTATATCTGAAGCAAAGAGAGCACTTAAATGCAATCCTGAATGTGCTCCTGCATTAATTTTGTATTTATTTAAATTAAAAATATTTTTATTTAAAAATATTTATTTTTGTAGATTAGCAGAAGAATTTTGTCAAACAATTTCTGAAGTAGAAGAATATTTAAGAAAAGCACTTAGAATTGTTGAAGGAATGTATAGACGAAGTCAAGCAGCTGTTTATCCTGATATAGAATCTCAACAAAAGAGTCGTGATATTAATATGCTGGTTAGTTTTGAGTTAATTATTGGTAATACGGTTCCGTGACTTTTGCGCCGAGAACATTTGCGCCGCGACTTATGCGCCGCGACTTTTGCGCCGGGCGACTTTTGCACCGCCACTATCATTAAAAATATATCAATAACTACAGCCGGACCTCACTTTAGTAGGGTTGTCGAATAGTTGGAAATCTTCGGATCCGATATCCGAACTGAAAATTTCGGATATCCGGCATTTTTCGGATCCGGATTTTTTAAACAATGGCGGCGCAAATGTCGCGGCGCATAAGTCGCCCGGCGCAAAAGTCGCGGCGCAAGAGTCGCGGCGCATAAGTCGCGGCGCAAATGTTCTCGGCGCAAAAGTCGTGATACCGGTAATACTTAATGTTAATATAAATTTATTGATTAATTGGTTAATTTTGAATGTGCTGTCCTTGATTTTCTTGTTTGGCGAGCATGCCAAAATAGAAAACGCATTTTTTATGAAAATGGTAGAATTAAAACCTCATTTAGTTTTTTAATTTAAAGGTCTTTATCCGTCGTCGACTAGCTATGTGCTCGAGAAGAGAAGGGCGTGTTCGCGAGGCAATTAAAATAATGCGAGATGTTTGTTTCTAATTTTTCTTCTTTTTAAATATTTTATTTTTAGTTAATCAAAGAATTTCCAACACTGGTTTTACTTTTTAAGTCGATATTTTTAAAAATTATTTTTTAAGAATGTTATGAATATTCACGAAAATTTAATTGAAGCACTATTAGAGGTTTTTTTAAATTAATCTTTTGATTATTTTTATTTTTTAAAGCAACGTGCTTATGCAGATGCTATGGCTGTGTTAGCAAAATATGACTCCTATGATGGTTATTACTTTGTATTTTTAGCACTTTTACTTTTTTAAAATTATAGATTGTGTAATGCCGAAATCAGCAACTGTTTGCTTTACTTCAGCTTTACTCAAAGCTCGTGGTGTAGCAGACAAATTTGAACCTGAAACAATGCGAAAACGTGGATTTTCTTCGGCAGAGCTAGCTGCTGTTGAAGCTATCCACAGAGCGGTGGAATTTGTGAGTTTTTTTATTCGACGGTATTTTTATAGGAATATTAACATGGTTTTTCGATTCAACGACTATTTCCGGATAAATCCCACTTCTGTGTTTTTAATGTTTTTCCTACGATTTATTTTTTTCGTCATCAAATTTAAAAAATATTTTTGTTTGAACAGAATCCTCATGTACCTCTTTATCTCTTGGAACGAAAGCCTGTAACAATGCCACCCGAACATATTTTAAAACGCGGTGATTCTGAAGCTGTAGCTTATGCATTTTGGCATTTACAGCATTGGAAACGAGTAGAAGGAGCTCTTCAATTACTACAATATACGTGGGAAGGAAGTTTGTTAATTTTAAAATTCTATTAATTTATCATCTTTACTAGCTTTTCGAATGCTTCCAAATCCCACCGAGAAGGGTCATCTTTTCTTTCCTTACCCAACATGTACTGAACAAGCCGATAAAGAATTATTTCCTCGTTTGTATTTTACTAATTTTTAAAATTATTTTTCTTTCTAAGCTTATCACGAAGTATCAGTTTATCCTAAAAAAGAATCTCCGCTTTGGACATTATTTGCATCTTTGCTTTCTTGTTGGTTTGTTTTAAAAATTTTTTTGTTTTACTGTTGATATGATGAGGGTCTTTTGCCTATTCTCTTGTCTAGTAATTAAGTTAATATTTATTGGACAGAGTTTTTAATTTTTTCCCATTTTATCATTTTATTTGTCATGACATGATAACCTTAATATGACTATAGCATTTTTAAAATTCAAAGATTAAATTTATTTCCTAATAATTTTAGTGTAGCAATTTTTGCTATTCTTTTCCATCAATATCCAGATGAAACACTTCATTTTATGCATTTGGTAAAATAAAAATAATTTTATAAATTTTAAATATTTTTTAGGCAATTAGTGGAGCCTGGTCATCTGTTTTTACAGTTTGGGATTATTTATGTTCGCTCGTTCCAGAAAATTTTATGGGATTAATTGCTTCAAAACCAACAACAACTCCAACAACGGCAACTGCTGGTGTAGCAGCACCCCTGCCTGCCGCTGGAGCAGAAGCAGCTTCTGGCAGTCTTTAATAGTTAAAATATTTTTTTCTGTCATTTTTCTTTTAACTTGCCTGCCATCTTTTTGCAATTTTCTTCAAATTTGAGAATTTTAGTTGAATAACAACGTTAACAACTCACCATTTATGTAAAGAATAGGGGATATTGGTTGATGCACAACTAAAAATACCTAAAGCTGTTGCTGTGGATCTCGCGGCTTTCTCTCTTGTCCCTCATTCTTCTATTTCAGTTGTTATCTAAAAACTTTCGATTCGTGGCAATCTTTTGCTTCATAAATACTCATGGTCCTCCACTATTTCAAAAAATATTAAATACTTTTAAAATTCTCTCTGTTCATTTTAAATGAGTCTTTATTTAATTTTTCTGCCCGCCATCTTTAAAAATCCCAAAAATATACATTTTTAATTTTGCACTTTTATTTTTGAATGTGTTTAATTCGTATTTTATAGTTTTATTTTTTTTCTGCTGTTATAGGAAGGATAAACACATTATTTGATGAAAAAGTTGTTTTTTCACTCATGTGCTTTGACATAATACAATTTATCGAAAATTTTAAAATTTGTCGGTTTCTATTTTCTTAGCCCCTCGGTATTTTCTCATAAATTTAAAAAATTAACGGTCTTTAAAATAGATATCCGACTTTTAAGTATTCATTTTTGTTTAATTAAAATTTAATAAAAGCATGACAACAATCACAACTTCAACTTCATCACAATTACAACAACAACCAACAATGGGAATACAACCAAATGATCCTAAAAAACTTGTTGATTATTTAATGAGTGATTTTCGTTCACTGTCTATGGATGCAAAAAAGAAACATAATCATGTGAAAGAGGTATGAGAATTTTTATTTTTTAATAGAAAATTGTTTTTTAAGGCGGCGGAGTCTGGTTTAGTTAAAATTCGTAATATTAGCGCTGCATGTGAATCGCACCAGGATTCTGATTTAATACAAGCTTTACGAATTTCCTGTACAGAATTATTGCATCCATTTCTTTTGGGTTGTTCAAGTAAAAATCCGCGGCTTGTTCAGATTTCGCTACAAGCTATTCAAAGGTTAATTCATAACAGAGTTATTGAAGCAAATGTAGTGCCGGCTATAGTTAATGAACTATGGATTTTAACTGAGGCTGAATGCGAAGAATTGAAAGGTAATATTTAAAATTATTATACAATTGCTTATATGGCCCGGGATATTTTCGCATTAGAAGATCCTTCTAGATATTAATCTGAACTTGGGTCAAACCTCGGGATTTTCTCCTTGACTATTTTTTCTGATATTATTAAGTTTTTAATAAGGAAAAGAATGCCTGAGAACACCCCTAATCTGATAGTTTTTTTTTATTTTTAGTTATTCAAACAATAACTCCATTTGTTGGCACAGAACTGTTTGTCAATAATTGGGCATTGGCCAAAGTATGATTTACATGTTTACTTTCCTATTATTTTTTCAATTTGAGTGCATTGTGCTTACCTTCCGACTAAATGCCTCAAAAGATTCATTAGTCATTAATGCTGCCTCGGCAGCCGTTCGCCAACTTTTTAGTTGTGTTTTTGAAAGAGTTATTAAAGAGGATGAAACTCCTGAAATTCAGCAACAACAACAAACACCCCCTAATCAACAACAACAAACACTAGCACCCCCATCTCTTAGGCCAGCTGCAGCAGATGCTTTTCTTTTACTGAGAGATTTGTGTGCTTTAATAAGGCGAGAACAACCAAATTGGCTTATTGGATTGCAAAGAATTGCGCCTATATTAGGATTGGAACTGTTAGAATCTGTGATAAAGAATTATCCAAGCATCTTTTTAAAAGTTTTTTTAATTTTTAAATTTTATAAAAATTGTACTTAATAGCACCAAGAATTTGCTGAATTACTTAAAACACAAATAAGTGCACAAATAGCTGCGAAAATGTTGCATGTTGGAGAGAGAGAATTTGCAATGTTGGCAGTTGCGGCAGCAAATGCGACACAGGCTAATAATGTGGATAATCAAGTAAATTAATTTTAATATTTATGACTTTGGTGTGGCTTGTTTTATTAGGGAGCGGGGGTCTAAAATAATTAAATAGAATGCATAATAAGATTGAGTATTTTAAGAGACCGATTTAAATTTAAAAATTAATTTATAGAACAAACCTTTGGCTGTCTCTGCAGCATTATTAAATCAACAATTACAACAACAATCTTCACATTTAACTTCACAAATGGCTAAATCTGCAGCTTCTTCCTCTTCTACGGGTCGAGATTTTCCAATTGTTATTAGATCATTACGTATTTCTTTGGCATTGGTTACAAATTATCATTCTTTATTGGGTGCTCAATCTGAAGCAATTATTCACTTTTTAATAGAGCTTCTAGCACAACATCCAAGTACTTCATGGGAGGCAGCTGTAGCAATTGAAGTTTTACATAAAATGTTGTCACAGCCAAAATTGCTTAGGTATACATAAATTTAAAATAATAAATCTCTATGAAAATTTTTAAAAGATTTTGGTAGAAATTTTTTTTGAACTTGTATGATTCCACAAAAATATTCTGGAAATTAATTACCCCCCTATACTTTTTTACTTTTAATATTTTTAGTTGGTTATGTACTAGACCAGATGGAGCCAAATTTTTGGAAGCAATTGTATTTTCTCGTTTGTTCGCTTTTATCAAAAAATGTTTAGATGAAGCTGCAATTGACGGTTCTACAATGAGAGATGGAGAAAATAATGCCCAACCTGGTTTTGTCTATAAAGGTAAAAATAAACTGTTTTTCAATTTAATGAAAGGTGTTTTTCTTCTAGGTGTATTTCTTCCACTCGGTGATCGTCATCCTTCGTCAAAACGTTTAATCCTTCTAGATTGGTTGGATAAACACAATGCAGAGAAAATACCAGAAGCTTATTGCCTTTCATTAACCTATGCAACCTTTTGTGTTGCTTCACGTTCTTTACATTCAGCAATTGAAGAAGACTTTCAAAATCATCAAAAAGATTCTTTTGAATATTCCGGTAAATAATTAGTTTAATTAAGTTGCATCTCCTTTTGATTAACTATTTTCTTTTAGAATTCGCAAAAGAATTGTATAATTCTTCATATCATTTTTTGGTTGCTGGATTATCTACTTTGCTTGATTGCAGGTGATTTTTCTTATTTTAGAGTAAAAAATTTTTCCCGAATTTAGTGTGGATGATTCACTTAATGAACAACTTCTTAATTGTATTTGCTCGTTGGCAATATTAGCTTTACGGCTACAACTTCCTAAACCTAGACGTGAAGTATTAAAAGCTATTTGCCGAGCTGTTAGTTTTAAAATTTATTTTGTGTAAACTTTTTTTGTTTTTCCAGACTCTTCCTTTTCAATATTACAATAAATTTATTGACTCTATTAAAGCTTCTACTACTGCAAATGGAACATTAGTTGGAGATAATATTTCTTCATCTACTTCAACTGATGATTTTATAACTTTTGATCCTCAAAAAGGTATTTTATAATTGGTTACCGTTGGTTGAACGCAAATATTATGTCATGTTTTGGGGCATTTAAAGGTCATGTCTGATTTCGGATCGGGCAATTAGTTAATATTTGGTTTCGAGTAACACTTGCAAACTTCTCTCGGGCGAAATTTTGAAAATTATAGTATTGAGGATCAGATTTTTAACGTGCAGACAAAAATTATTTTAAGGAATAGAGCATAATATTGTGGCAATGGGAACTGTTTGTCCAAGTCCTTATTTGCCTCCACAGCTTTTCAACACTTCAGTAATGGTAATTATTTTTTGAAGTATTATAAACTTTTTCTACATTTTAGTTAACTTCCAAGAATTTGCAAGTGCTTAGGATACTTGTCAATTTAACCATTAATAATGGTTCACAATTATCTGATTGTTGGGAAATGGTTTTGACTACTTTGCAGGTTTTATTTATATTTTTTTATTTTTAATTAACAGAAATTTTTTCATATTACAAACAATTTTTAATTTAAATTAAAAACCATTTAAGCATTTTGTTTGGATAATTGGCCTACGACCTTCTCCAACTGGCAGTTTCCGAACTGGGATGAATGAATTGTCTAATGTTTCACCAGTAGCAGACGCAAATTCTAATACTCTATCAAGTACAACAACTACAAATGCTAGTGCTGTTTCAGGCGTCTTGTGTTCTAATACAGTAATTCTGACAAATATGGCTAGCAGTGAATTACCTGATATTGTTTGTTGTTTATCTATTTGATATTGGTCTTACACTAGTTTTCTATCCATCATTTTCGTGTTTTGGAAGTTGATCTAAAAATTATAAATTAATTTAGAATCAACAACTTGGATCGCTCTTCGAATCAACCTGTAAATTGGATGAAGTTTCTCTTCATCACGTAATTGCCGCGCTTTGCAAACTTTCAAATGAAACTATGACTGTAGCTCAACACAGTTTGAGGGAGACTTCTTTCTTCTCTTTTGCTAAATTACAGCAAGCAGCTTTAGTTAATCTTCCACGTTTACATGTGTTTTGGCGTCCCGTTACTGCTCATCTTTTGGAGGTTAATTTTTCTTTGTATATTTTTAAAATTTTTATTTAACAGTTATGTTCTCATTCAAATAATAATATACGCGAATGGGGATCTATCTCTTTGACAAAACTTGTTGAAGAAGGAATGAAACAAGTTGTTGGTGGAGTAAATTCTGAGGGAGATGAGGAGATTACAGTTAAGAATTGAATTAAATTTCAAAATTATTATTTTTAATTCAGAAAAAAGAGCAATTGATTCTTAGCCCTTTATGTTCAATGAATGAAATTAGCTTTTCTGATGTAAGAGCTAAACAGTTAGGTGAGTCTTTGCGCTTTAGAGAATCAACAGCATTATTTAGGACTTTATATTTTCTTTTTAACTTGATTGATAAATTAACCAGATGTTGGGAGTTTTCCCAATTCTGATTTAACTCTTATAATTTAAATAAAAATTCCATTTTTCAGATTGTCTTATGAAAATCCTACAGGCAGACAACCGAACATTAGAAACACCTCTTTGGCCTTTTATTGTACAAATTGTTCGTTCTATTGTGGCAACCGATGCACAAATGTTAGATTTATAGGAATTTAAATATACCGTCCTTTTTAGTAGAGTTGATCCTCAATTAATTGATCAAGGCTTTCGTGCTCTTTCACTTATGGTCAAAGAATTTTTATCTGTTTTACCTTTTGAATGTGTGGAAATGCTTGTTGAGACAAATGCACTCTATGGGCAACAACAATTACATTTGAATGTTTCTCTAGCCTCTATTGGACAACTGGTCTGATCTAAAAAAATTTTTTTTTGAATTGAATTTTTTCAGTGGGACATTTCTGATTTTGTCCGTCGCGAAACAAATCATGGAAAGATTGCAGCGGAGGTGGATCAACAACAAATTTGGCTTTTAATCTATCAAGCTTTGGGTAATTTGTGTTCTGATCCTCGGCCACCAGTACGTAAAAGTGCCTGTGATACATTATTGCAAACAGTTGCTGCCCATGGACAAGCACTAAATATTAAATGTTGGGAACAAATGTTGACTGAAGTTAGTTGAGGGAAAAGGAGGGATTTGACTTTTTAATTACCTCATAAATTAACCTCTAAATTTAGATTCTTTTCCCAATGCTTTGTCGTGTCCACCAATGTGCACAGACAGCATCTACACAACGCTCTAACACTACTAATAGTCTTGGTGCCCCAAATTTAATGATACATCATTCACGCGATACGTAACTGATTTTTATAGTTAATTTGAAGTTACCTTATTTTAAGTGAGTCCAAGCAATGGGCAGAAACGAGTGTTAAAACACTTGGGGGTGTTGTAAAGATTTTCAATGCACATCGCCCTTCACTGCTTCAATTAGGTTTATTTTTATACATTATTTTTATTATATCTTTTATTTTCAGAAAATTTCTCCGATTGTTGGAGCCAATTATTAAGGCATATTGTTTTATCAGCACGTACAGATAGTGCAGAAATAAGTCTTTCAGCAGTGAAGAATTTTCAGGAGCTTCTTTTTGGAAGACAACAACAAACAAATTCTGAAAGTTCTTCAATACTCCAAAGTGGAAATAAATCACCCTCAACTCCAGGAGGTGGAAGTATAAAATCTAAACTACAACAATACTCATTGTTAGTTATTCTACGAATTTTTAGGGCATCAAAACTTTCTGCCAAATTTTAGAATTGATTCTCTTGATCATTCATTGTCTCCTTCACTGCCCGAACCTCTTTGGATGAGTGCTTGGAGTAATTGGCTTCAAATTGCGAGATCAATTCTAGCGCCTGATTTTTGTGAAACTTCTGATGATGCTTTCCTTTCTTCTACTTGTGATGTTGATACTGGCTATTCAAAATCTGTTGTTTTGCCAACAACAAGGTAAAATCTGGCGAATTTTTAATCTATTAATTTTCTTCATCAATAGAAAGTCTTATGTGTCCAGTCTTTATCATTTGAGTACTTTACTCGAAACATTCATCTGGCTTTTTCACCGTGTTCGACAACAAGTCCCTGTTGATGATATTCGCCTCCAATGTCTTGGACAAATTTTTATTGTAAAAATTCTTTTTTTATTTTTAATTTTTTTTATTTTTGTAGGATTTAGCATCAGTGCCTATATCTGCTGATCAGATTCCAATTTCTACATTATTTGCTAATACAAAAAATGGTTCAGAACAACAATTACCTTTAAATATGGCACAAGAATATCTTTTCAGTTGTACTCGTGCTATACTTCAAGTTGTTTATTTTAGTAATACAAAAAATTTTTTATTTTTATTAGGAACAAATAGATACAAAAAATGGGCTCCGTGCTGCTTTGCCTGATATGCTGAGATTGTAAGAAAATTATATTTCTTTAAATTAATTCGTTTTGAAATAACTAAACGTTTATATGGTTGAAAATATTTATTAAGATTTATTTAGACTATTTATTTTTCGATTAATTACAAAAGAATCGAATTTTGATCAGAATAAATTTAACAAATCTAATAATTCCAAATTTTTGTCAATTTTTCTGATTTTATGCAAATTTCTATTTTATTCTAAAAAATTTTTTCAAAATAATTTTAGATTAATTTTATGGATGCAATTTTCTTGGAAAAAGCCGCAAAATAAATTTATTTCTGATAAATCTTCAAATTCATCAGAAATTGGAGATATTAAAAATAATTCTAATTTAATTACTTTTGGAGAAACTAGTATGAAAATGCTTTTAGAATTTTATTCAAAAACTGCAGCTTATGAAGAAGTTATTCAACATACAATTTTGGTTGATATTGTTAAAGTAATAAATAAAGAAAAAAATATTTCAGAAATAAATTTTTAATTTTTAGGCATTGGGTGAACCATTAGCTTTAAAATATTCTTGTCCTTCCCAAACTACTTGGCAATTAGCGGCAGCTACATTAAATAAAGTTTTTTTTTAGGATTTTCTTTTTTTTAAATTTTATTTTTTAGGTTTGCCAAGTTGGTATTCCAATTGCCAGGGAAAATGGTAAAAGAAAGTTTTTGATTGGTTTTTTAAATTCTAAATTTTAGTAAATTTATTTAAACAATTGTGGCCGTGTTTGGCAAATGTTGTTGAGAATTTTCTTTTCTCTACCTCGTTAGTTTTTATAAAAATATATCTTTAGATTCAAAAATAAAAGTGGAATTGTCACTTCTTTTAAATTATCAACCAAATTCAATTTTGATTTTCTTTTAAATTTCTAGAAAATCTTCAAAACTTCTCAATGCTGATGAACGTAAGAGGCATGAATTTGTTGACTGCCTTTTAGTTGAACTTTTGCGTGCTGAATTATTACCTTTTGCAAATAAATTACCTAGAGATTTTATGATTTCAATTATTGATATTCTTAATCGTGGATCTATAAATACAATTGATGCTAATGATGTTTTAGGTATGTTTATTTTATTATTATTCTCCCATTTTGCTTGATCTTTTCTTTCATTTCTTTTCATTAAATTTTCATTTCAATATATGCTATCATGGTACTTGTGAGTTATCTCATACCAGTTCTTGCGGACTCGTTCGTATGTAAAGAATTTTCACTCATTTTTTGAGACAATGAAGAAAGGATTTTTTGCAAGGAAAAGAAAGTCCGAATATTCTGTACATATGAATGAGTTTGAATAAATATATCCGCAAGAGCTTGTATAAGATAAAACACAAGTACTACTAACATTTTGATAATTCAAAATCTCTTCACATCTTTTAATCTTCTTTTGCTTTATAACCTTTTTATCTATGCGCTAAATAATCAAAGCCCAATCTCGCTACGTCTCACAGCTTCAGACCTACATGAACAGCGAACTGATCTTAGCCGTGTTTGTTTTGATGCTTTACTTTCTCTTAGCCAAATGGAGGAAGAAACTAATAGACCAATTTCTTCATCATTCTTTACTTCTTCTCCTGTACATCAACGTACTGATGGAGGTTTTTTACGAAACACAACTAGTCAATCACATAGACAAGCAGTTGCAAGTACAAAAAATTCTTCATCTTTGGGGGCTACAGCAATTTCTTCGTTGTTGAATCGCTGCAAACAAGTTAGAATTTTCCTTAATTATAGTTGCCATACAAAGGGTGAATACTAGAGAGCGAGCTGGATATGGATCCAGACCTTGATTTGGATCCAGAATTCAGTTCAAGGCATTTTCCAGAATCCATATCAAGGCAGGTTTTTTGAAAATCTCGCTCTCTAGTGAATATCTGTCCATTTAGGGTATACTTACTATTAGTCACTCAGGCTTTCCTCCTCTCCTCCGAACTTAACTTTAAATTTAACAAATCAACCTTCTTCTCAGGTTTTAAATTGCTTCGCACGTGATGAACAACGTTGTGGTGGCCATTTTCCACCTTTACCACAGGAACGTGTTTTTGAAGCAATTTCAGGTTAATTAGTTTTACAAATTTAAAGAATAATTGAATTTAGCATTGAGAGCAGTTAGTGCACTTATTGATGGATTCTCAAGAAATCCAACAAGTGTATTATATTCACATTTGGTTACATTACACCCAAATTTGGTAATTGCATTTTATTTTAATTTTCATTAAAAAATTTTTAGGTTCAACTAATTCCAAGTTCAAGATGTGACCAACAATTAGAGTTAGCATTAATGACTTGCCTCAACTCGTATCAGACATTACTTCTTTTAAATTTACACATAAATGAGAATAAATAAAAGATTAGAATTTTTGTTTTTTCAACATTCCAGAAATTCTTTTTGGTGTTTAATAATTATTTAGAGTACACTTCCTAAAATTATAGCGCTTCCCCGCATGGAATTAATATACATAGTATTTTTCAGCTCCGCTACGGCACATTAAATTAAAGCTCCAAATTGTTTTAACTTTCTGACGATCATTTAAAAATATTAGAATTTCTGATTTTTAATTGTATGTAAATTTTTTCTACTGCTTTTTCTGTGATTTATTTTGTTTAGCTGACCCGACTAATTATGCAAATACTATTGTTAAATATAATTTCACTTAAAATTATATTTTGTTAAATAAAAATTTTTAGTTTTCTTAATTTTATTGAAGAAATTAGCTTTTCACGAACTGGCGGGTACCAGACGGAACTGTGATACCACCATTTATGGTGATGTGCCTAGAAAGGACACACACAGGGTATCGCAAAGTTCGATCGGGTAGACGCCAAATTCGAAGCATTTGTGAAGTAATTGAATATAATTAATGTTGAAAATCTTGACCATCTTCCGATGGGCCTAAACATGTGCAACGATGATGTCAAAAAGTACACCAAAAATATTAACGCTGCACAATGTAAAGTCCCCGCGGAATAAGGCGAAGAAAATTAAAATAAAAAATGTTGGAATAACTGAAAGAATTTAAAAAAAACTTTCTAGAACGCAACTCACTAGTTGTTTGTCTAGTCACCAACAAAGTGAAATTGCATTTAAAGGTGGACTGGACTAAACACCCAGTGAGCAGCAGAACAGAAACAAAAAATTATTGAAGACAGGTTTAAAAATAAATGGAGAAAGAGCCTCTTTAATAAAATTCCTTTTATATTATTTTAAAAAAGGAAGGCGGAGTGTATTTTTTTCTCTTTCCGTTGTGATGGACATGCTTTGGGCAAAACGCCAAATAAATTATTAAATGTGGAAATTTGAACGTTTCTCTAGTACTTTTCTTTATTTGAGAGTTTTTTTGTTTTTAAGCTTTTAACTTTGAGAACAAAAACGATAGGAAGTGATTAAATAAAGAGGAGTTTTTAATAAATTCAAAAAAGAGAAGGAAGACCTTTGTTAAATGAGCATTTTTCCCACTCTTTTTCTTCAATATTTTTAGCCTTTTCTAAGTTGCCTGAATTTCCTCTCTATTTGCATTTATTTAGAAGCAACAGATGGTTATGCAAACTTAGAAAAGAAAATAAAAAGGGTTGTCACTGCGCTATATAGTTGCGCATTTAAATATTTATTTTGGCGCTTTTTTTGCTTGGAGCAAAAAGAGGAAAGAATATTTTAGCATTTAAAAATTATTTCCCATTCTTTGTCTACTTTTAATACGAATGACCGTTAAAAATTTTTTTTGCTCTAGGAAAAACTTTAAAGACGAATCTAAAACTTTAAAAAAAGAACGCTGCATTATTTTTGAAACTAAAAGTATTAAAGGGAGAAAAGAAGGAAAATTTAAAAAAAAAGCGGTAAAGAAGGGAAGATTATTTTGTGAGATTAGTTTTAATAAATTTGAATCTCATAATTATTTTTAAGTAACACTTAATTAAAAAATTTGAAAAAACCAACAAACGGGTGAAAATTAAATTAAGATCATTGAGTTCAAAAACTCGACAATAATCACTCGAATTTAGCGCCTCGAAAGATTTAGGGATATGTATGTGCAACCTGTAAAGATTTTAAAAAAACAAAGAAAAAACAGAACGAACTGAGATTTTAAGAAAAATTTAGGTTTTCGAGAATCAATATTTTTCGAAACGTAGATCTTGTACGACCCTCCGAGTTTGGTTTCTAATACTAGATTTAGTGTATTAGTCTCTAATACCACGTTAGGTTCTCTTCCCCATTTCAGAATACCTGGATATTTTTAAGATTAATATACTACATCTGTACCTTCTGAACCTATGATAAGGATTACATATAAAAATTTTTTAAATTAAAAAAAACATGTAAAACAGCGCCAAATCAATAAAATATAAAAAACGGAGAAGAACGAGAAAAAATTTTAAAAACAAAAATTTGATATGAGTTAATTAGTAATTGATAATTTAATAAAAAAAACAAGAAGATAAGCAATTATTGTTGATATACATAGTTGTTTGTAGGTAATATTTTTATACCTACATATTTATTTTTGTTTTAAAAATAAAGTATTCTCTAAAATTCACAATATATTTTTATTTACTCGAAAATATCTCGAGATTAAGTTCAAAAAATAATTTCGGAATTAGTTTTCCTTGAAGAAAAATTAAAATACAACTTTATATTTTTATTTTATCCAATTATACATTTTAAAATTTAAATAAAATCAAATAAAGAATATTTATATTTATAGTGTATTTAAGTGTATAGCTCTAGGAATGACATTTTCTATGTTTATATGTAGAAATTTTCTTATTTAAAAAAAATCGGACCCCTTTTTCACATTTTACTCGAAAGTCATTAGTACGGCTGTGATTTATAGGCAAATGCCTTTTTTTTTCTGCGAGCTTGGCATGATGTAATACGTTCAAAAAACGTGTTTTTAGCTTGGTCCGAAGAGTTTAGCATGACTTTTATTTTGCCTATTTTTGCCTATTTCGGAATTTTTGAGCCTTTTTGCCTATTTTGGAATTTTCGGTACTATTTTTGCCTTTTTTAGCGATTTTTCCTAAATTTTGCCTAAAAATCAGTGAAAAATCTAAAAAAGTCATTAGGTATTTCGGCGAACCGACAGTATTTGACACAAATACAACCCTGAGATAAACGGTTTTTTAAATTCAGTTGAATATTAAATGATAATAACTATAGGCCGGATTTTTAGGTTATAATTTATTTTTTACTGAGATAAAAAAGAGGTCCGACGAAATATAAAATTTTGTCAAATAAAATTAAAAAATAAAAGACGATGGAGTTGATGGCTTTCTTTGTTGAATAACTTCATTTTGTGTAGCATTATCATCATTATTTTGTGTTATATTTGTTGGAAAATTTCCGGAACTTGTTTGAATATTTGCTGTATTTCCCCCAAACATATGCCTTTCCAATTCTCTAACAATCCCCAAAAATTGTTGAAATTGTGGGTCATATAAACGATGACGAGAATCTGATGCTAAACATAAAGTTTCTGTTATACGTTCAGGTGGAGTAGAAGAAGAGGAAGAAGAATTATTTGGTAAACAAGTAACACTTGGTGTTGGTAATGGAGGTTGTCTTTGGTGTTGTTGGGGATTATTTAATGGATCTAATCCCAAACGAAGACCTTAAATTTCAAATAAAATTTTAGAAATTTTAATTTAATTATTAATAAAAGAATTTTTTGGATGGAAAAGTTTCAGGAATTTAAATTTTTATGGTGCCGGAAATAAGAGATATAGCTAAGTAAGCGCACAAATTTTCCTTTTCTCAAATTATCTTTCGAATTTTAAAATTTAAAAGAAAAATATTAAAAGAGGATTATTAATTTATCCTCTAACAGATGAGTCTCTTTTTCAACAATTCATATAATAATTGGCTTTATCTTTTTTCTGGTGCTATATTAGTTCAACTACAAAGACTATTTATGTACTTACATGTGGAGGGGGATTATTAAGGATTTTATCTACTTGCTAGTATGTAAGTCAAAATAAAAAGATGGTTTCCCAAAATGTAAAATTTTTTAAAAATAATTTCTAAACAAATTATTACCTTCACTAAAAGTATCAGAAAAACTAAATTTATTATTTAATCCAAAATTTTCTCCACTCCCCGTTGTTGAAGGAATTGTTGTTTGTTGTCCAAAAATAGGTATTTGTTGTTGTAATGAAGGCAATTGAATATTATTATTATTAGATGTTTGTTGTTGTTGTTGTTGTTGGGATTGAGCAATTAATTCGAGTAAAGGAATTAATAAATTAGATGAAGAAAATGAAGGGGAATTAGTGGAAGATTGTTGTTGTTGTTGAATTAATGAAATTAATTGATTTAATTGACCTCCAGAAGTTGAGCTTGATGTTGATGTTAATTGTCCAAGTAAAAGGTTGAGAGAAGGGTCAAGTTGTGGAGGTAGAGGAGTCTTTAAAATTAAAAAAAAACATCTCAAAAACATCCCAAAACATCTACACAATTACCTGCATTTGTTGTTGAGAGCCAATTATTTGATTTAACAACAAAGTCAAAAGGAGGTTTTGTTGTTGTTGTTGAATGTTTGTATTATCTGGTGTGTTTGTTTGTTGTTGTCCAAACATTCCAAATTGTTGTTGGTCAAAACGAGGTTGGACAAATTGTTGTGTTTGTTGTTGTTGAAAGCCGTAGTTGTTATTAGTGTTAGTATTATTGTTGTTGTTTGTAGTCATTCCAGTACCAAGGAAACCCAAATTGAGAGCATTTAGTGACATCTTTCGAATTGTAAAATAAGTAAATTATAAATTTGGGTTGTCCCTCTACCCCGATTTCCTACCCCCGCCCGATAATGAATGCCTTCATGGAGCCACCCAGAATCCCGACAAAATTCGTGTTCCTGACCCCAATTCACGATATCCCATTCCCCGACATCTCCTTTCCTTGTAAAAGTTCTTTCCGACGGGCCGGAGACAACACTATTAAAAAACACATACAGAAGATCCATAATAAGTATTAGCCGGAGTTGTAGTATTTTCATTGTTGTTATTATTATTAATTATTCCCCTCTCAATTCCCCCTCCTTTAGAATAATCTTCTCCAGAACCAATAGAAGATGGAAATAATGCAGCCAAAGATTGTGTAGATAAATTCATTTGTCCAGAACGATTTGAAGAACATAAAGGTCTAAAAGGGGAATCTGATGTTGTTATTTGTTGTTGTTGTTGACTTGGGGGTGTTTGGTCAGCTATTATTATATCTTCCATTGGGGTATTTGGAGCTGTTGTGTTAGTTAAATTTCCTTCGAGAGAATGGGCACGTTTTGGTGAATTTATATCCATATTCTGTAAATTTTTAAAGAAAATTTAAAATTATAAAAAGGAAATTTCGTGGGAAATAATAAAAAAAAAGGACCAAAAAAAGGACTTAAAAAGACCCAAATTTTTAATTTGGGGCTTTTTCTCAGAGCTTTTGAACTTCAGAGCTTTTGAACTTAAAAAGACCCAAATTTTTAATTCCCCTCAAGATTTTAAATATAATTACTTCATTAGAATCACTATTAGCAATTCTTTTATCACAAGATAAATTAGAAATATTTATTGGAGTAATTATCCCTTCAGTCCCATAATTAGTTGTTGATAAATTTCTTAAACTCAGAGCTTTTGAAATTAAAGAAACTCCAGTTGCTGATGAAGAAGAACCAAAGGAAAATGAAGAGGAAGGAGGTAATGAATTATTTTGTTGGCAAATATTTTGTTCAGAATTTCCGCTACTAATTAATTGTTCTTCTGAGATATTTCCTATTAATTGTTGTTCAACAGTTCGAGGTGTTCCTGGGGGTATTGGGAGGCATTCTTCTTCTTAAAATTAAATTCAGAATTAATCCTTTGTTAGAAATTAACTTTTTTGAGGGAAGGTGTTCGTTATGGATGGTTCCTAAAACCGAAAACCAAGAAAATACTCTAGAGCAGGGACAGGAAAGATGTTAAAAAAGGTTACATTTAGTCCAAAAATAGGGAGTTAATTCAAATTAGGGATTAAGAGAAGGAGGATTAAAGGTGAAAGAGGAGATAATTATACGAGGTTTGAAATTTGAACGTTTTTTAGGCATTTGATGGGGGTAATTATTGTTTCAATCTATCGCTGGATGGGAGTGGGGATGGACGAGGGGAAGTGGGGCAAATGGAAGTGGGGTAATTATTTGAGGGAGGGCAATTAATACAGGTTATACTGTAATGTGGACACCCCTTTCTCCGAATTAAAATCGCCTCATTTAAAAACTCACCACTAATAAACTTCGGAAAGACCCTTAATCGAGTGTTGCCATTCTTGAAATGTACCGGTTTCAGTACCAACCCGCATTCAGAAGTACGTGTTCGATATCTCCTAATTATGGCATTAGCTCTAAGGCTCATAACATTTTGACACTTTAAAGCGAGAAAATTTATTCTTAAATATTTAATTAACATTAAATACCGTTTTGCAAGTACAACTATTATAAGGGCAAGAACTTGCATGGCCTTTAAGTGCTATTTGAAGACCGTGACCTTCACATTTTCGACAAAACCTGTTTAAAGAGAATATTTTTTTAAATTAATAAAAGGAAAGAATATTTTTAAAAAAAATTTTTCTTGTTAATTTAGTAGGAAGACCCTTAATGAATAAAGATAAAAATTAACAAGACTTGTGTACGTGTTAAAAATAACAAAATATTTATCAGTTTATAAAAAAACATACAAAGTCCTCATGGAATTTGGATGTTGTTGTTGTTGACTATTATTACTAACAACTCCTCTGGCTCCAAAATTAATAGAGGAACCGGAAATATTTCCCCCAGAATTATTTTGTAAAGATCCAGAAAGTGTAGGGACGGCCATTTGAGTTAAATTAATAGAAGAAGAAATTAAAGATTGTCCAATATCTGTTTGTTGCTGTAAATTTTGTTTTTGTTGTGAATTAACCAAAAGATTAATTGAAGGATCATTTTGTTGTTGCTGTTGTTGTTGATGAATAGCTGCTTGTCTTTCTTGCTAAAATAATTTTTTAGAAATTAATAGAAAATACAAAATTTAAAGACTTTAATGAATATTGGGGGAACATTAATTTAAGATTTTCATGAAATATTTCGATCCAATATTTAAAAAATAAATTTTAGATGCCTGAATAAATGATCCAAAAACCATCGGAAATTTAGAAAAATATAACTTAAAAATTAAAAAAGAACATTTTCCAACACACTAATTCGAATTCTGGGGGCTTTATTAGAGAAAGCTGGAGTTTACTATTTTAATTAAAACAGAAAAAAATTATTAAACTCTTTCCAACTTTTCCACCTCAGCAATAGTACGATCAACGTCTGAAGTCAAAACCTGAATAATTAAATATTTATATATTTTAATTGCTTACTAATTATTTTTAAAAATTATTTTCTGTTAAAAAATATTTTTCTAATTAACTAAATAATTTTGTTATCAACCTTGAAAAGTATATTTAATTTTTATTATTTATTTTAATTTATTTAATATGTTGCCTTGTGACTAAAAGTAAAAACTTTTTTTTTTGAAAATTTTTGTGATAAACAAAAAGCCCCCTAAAATAACTACATTATTTTTATAATTAATTAACATTCTTTATTTTAAAAATAGAATGAAAATGAAAGTAGGGAGATAAAAATAGAATATTTGATTGAATTAATAAAAGGAAATTGAAAATACTGATAATATTCCTAACTCCTAAAGTATTCGAAGCTCTTAAAGAAAGTTTTTTTATAAATCAAAAAAAGGTTTTTTTCCTCACAAAATTACTTTAATTTATCAAAAAATGATCTGAAAATTATTAAAAAAAATAAAATTCCCCTACTTGTGCCTCAACAACAATTTGTGTCCCAGCAGGTAAATCAACAGGAACAACAACAGGCGCTACTACAGGAACTTCAACAACGGGAACTGCAAGTTTGTTTAGGTTTGTTGCTTGTTGTTGTAATGTTGTTGGAGTAGCTCCAGGGCTGCTACTGGTACTGTTACTAAAAAAGGAAAAAAAATTAAAAAAATATGTAAAAGGTCCGGAAATTTTTGGATCGGACAAAATTAATGACAATAATTTCCCTAAGCCCTCAGAAAAATCTTTGAAATATTTCCTACAGTAAGGTTGGCGGATCCGGATCCGAATTTTTTTTTGGAAATTTTCGGTTCGGATATCGGATATCTAAAGATTTCCAACTATCCGCCAACCTTATTGTACAGATCTTGTCTTCTTAAACACTAGAATTTTGAAATTCCTGTTCATTTGGCAAAAGGAAAGTTTCAAAAAAAATGCCGGAAACTAAAACTTTCTCCTAATTAATATTTGTAGTAACATATTTTGTATTTTAACATTAAATATTACCCAAAATATATTTAAATTAATATTTTACTATTTTTAAATAAACAATTTTATTTATTTAAAATTAGAACTGCTAATTACTAAAATAAAAATTATTTTTATTTTTAATATTCCTGTGCCAAAGAAAAAGAAAAGATGGCAAAAAACTAAAGTATAGTACACTTTAAGGCACGCAAAAAGTACATGTATAAACAAAATTACTTGGCATTTAAAAATTATTTGAAAGTACGCCGAAAATGGAAAAGAAATTTAGAAGGAAGTAGTGACTAAGGGGGAAAAGAAATTACAGTAAATTCTTTAATTGAGGTATTTAATATCTAATAATTATCTTTAATAGATTAAGTTAATTAATTGAGAGAGAAAAGAGATAGGTAAGTGCTTAAAAGTTTATTTAATTGTTAAAATAGAATTGTAAAATAAATATTTATTTGAGTTCTTTGCAGTCCGAGCTACAAAAATATACTAAACTATATATAATTATTTATTTAAATATATAATTATTTTAGGTATTTTAATGCCAAACTATAAAATAAATAAACTTTTGATTCTAAAGAAAAGAACAAATTCAGAAAAAATATTTGTACTATATTGCTAAATAATAATATTTTTATTATTTTGTGCCGTTGACTAAAAAATAAATAATCTTAAAAAGGTTTTTAAAAGTTAATTTAAAATTTCTCCAAATTTAAGATATTTTGTTGGAATATTTAACAGAATAAAAACTTAAAGGGATTTGCGGCACAGACCCTCGCGGGAAGTCGACGGACGCTGGGTTCTATGCTCGTAACTTAATCCTATTCCTATTATCAATGAGGTTCTCAAAGTTCTGATCAGAGCTGCACGAAAATTTTTCGTTTCTGTTTCGTAGATTTTCGTGGATTTTTTGATGAATTTCGTTTCGTTTCGCGTTTCGTTTAAAAATAATTTTTTTCATTTCTTTCGTTTCGTATTTCATTAAAAATATATTTTCGTTTCATTTTCGTTTCGTAACATGCCATTTTTATACGAAAATGACAAAAAAAATTCGTTATTTTTAGACAATTTTTTTACTATTTTGTCGTATTTTTAAGCCAAAAATTGAAAATTTATCTCCCAGAAACTTAAAATTCTAAAAATTTTGCCTGCGGCGCTAAAAAATAAAAAAATTTGATGACTTAGCCTTCAAAACTTCTCAAAATTTTTCTTCTCAAAAGAAATTTAGCTCAAATAATCCCAAAATTTCGCCTGCTAAATTTAGTTAAAACTACCAAAAATATGCAAAATACTGCTTTTTGTTTGAGATTTTAATTAATTTTTAAAATCATGCACTAATTTTTGCCCTATTTTTGTCCAATTTTGCCACATTTTTGAGTGGCTGCGTCCTATTTTAGTGGTTTGGAATTGGCACCCCGGTGAAATCCTTTCCGATATACCTCAAAATCCCTCTTAATCTATCCTAGGTGATATATACTCTCCAGATATCACGCAAAATCCAAGATATTCTTTTCATTTGTGGTCACCACTGATATAGAGGGATTGGGAGTGCTTATGAGGTTCATTGAATGATTAGCAGTATTCTGGACATTTTGGTATTATCAGATATTCTAGCATTAATTCCTGCTAGAATATCTGCTTTCATTAAATTTAAAATTGCTTTCATTAAATTTTTGAAAGCAATTTATGCATTGAAGGTGAATTATGTGAAAAAATTAGGCGATAACTTAGGCATTTTTATAATTTTGATTTTTTCGTTTCGTTTCGTTTCGCAAAAATAAAAATTATTTTTTCGTTTCGTTTTCGTTTCGTACATTGACGAATTTATTTTTTTTCGTTTTCGTTTCGTTGAGTGCGAAATTTTATTTTCGTGCAGCTCTGGTTCTGATCCTATTTAGGTAATGCAGGCACTTTATTTTCTACAAGTGCCGGATACTTAAATTAGAAATTCAACTTTTTTTAATTAAAAAAATAAATAAAAAATATAAATTATGTAATTACCATTGCTGCATCTTCATTGACATTTTTTGCAAAAAAGATTATTAAATTAGTAAATATATTTCGAAATTAAATATATACTATTTTGTATTGTTGTTTTAATTAATTATTTAGTTGTTAACAAATAAATAAATTTTATTTTTTATCTAAAATTTAGTAAAAAATAATATTTTTAATAAAATGCAAAATCTTTAAATAAATATAAATATGTTTTTAATTTATTTCCGTTTGATCGCTTAAATTTTTTAATCAACAAATATTTATTTTAATTATCTGAGAGAATTATTAAAGGTTAAAAATAAATGAATATAATTGTGATTTTCAATAAAATTAGTAATTTATTTTTTTTGGAAGAAAATAACAAAAAGAACTTAATTTTAACATTAAAAAAAGATTAAAGACAATCAAAAACACTAAAAGAATTTACAAAAATAAAATAAAAATATGTTTACAAAAATTTCAAAATATATCAAAACAGGAAATATTTTTTAAGTTTATTTTGATAAATTTTTATTTTTCATTTAGTCGAACACAAAGTTACAGATTACTAAATTGAGGAAATAGTTGCAAATATTTAGGAAAAAATGTTTTCTAAATTAAAAATATAAAATCTTGAAAAATACAAATATAATGTTAAGAAAGTGCAGATTGTTAACGTCAGAAATTTACATGCAAAATTGTTAAAAGCAAGAAAACTAAAATTTAGAAAATAAATAAATGTTGTTTTCTAACTTTTAAAAAATTCAGAATTTAAAAAAAAATTTTTATTTAAAATTAAAAATTTAAAATATTAAAAGAAGTTAATTATTTAAAAACAATTTTATAACATTTCTCTTTAATTATTAATTTTTATCATTAAAAATAATTTTATTTTTTAATTAAAACTTTTAAATTAAAAAGAAAATCACCAAATTATAATTATTGATAATTAATTAATTAAAAATTCCTTTCTACTCCAAGGACAGTTGTGCGCGTATATTAAAAGTAATGTGATATTTAGGTAACTAGTAAAAGTGTAATAAAGGGCAATAAATAAATAAATATATTTTTGAAAAAAAAGTTTTTTTTGGGGGGGGGGGGGGGGCGCGTAAACGAAGAGAAAAGAAATAAAGGTCCCCTTCTCCTTCTAAATATTTATCGGTTCGATTGCACTCACTTTTTGAGAGAAAAATGTGATAAAGAAGGGAAAAAGAAATAGTTTTGTGATTATTATTTTTATTTTTTGATTGATAGAAAAAGAAAACTTTTCAAAAAAAATTAATTAAAGGAAGGAAGCAAAAATTAAAATGAAAAATTATTTTAAAAAATAAATTGAATTTTGTTACGTCACAATAAAATAAATTAAAAATATGTAAGTCTGCGTTATGTATGAAGGTGACACTTGAACTTTGTATATTTAACCTTGACAAAACAAACCTCTTCATTGGCCAATTTCTCCTTAAAATGGCTCTCGATCTAAAGAAATTTTATTCGATCCCTTCGAGGTCATAATCAGAGGTGGGTCGGAACAGTCAAAGGTGTCGGAACTCGGTACTAGCTCAAAAGTCGGAACTAAATAAAATTTTTTTCGAAAATCGGAAGGAAAAAACGTCGGAAATCGGAATTCCGACCCACCTCTGTTATAATATCAAGAATTAAAAAAAGATTTTATACTAAACAAGGCTATAATGTAAGATTCTAGTTGATAAAAAAAAAATAAAAAAATATTTTTATTTGTAAATCAGAAAATAAAATTTAGAAAAAATAAACGAAATTTCCAGAAAAATTAATATTGCAAAAAATTAATCCGATTTACATATTATTTTGTTAAATAAAAGTATATGATATTTTTTATTTAAAATTAAAAAAAATTGACAAAAATATTGATAGAAAATAATAAAAATAAATTTTTTAAATAAAAATTTCGTTTAAATATTTTATATCAGTACTTTATTTACTGATAATAAAGGTTAAAAATAATAAAAAAAAATAAAGAAAGTAAAAATTTATTTAATAAAAAATAATTCTTTAATCTGAAAAAGTACAAAATAAATTTTTTTATTTATTTAGATATTTTAAAAATTCAGAAAACTTTTACTGAGATTTAATAAATTAATACAATTTTAAATTTATTTTATAAAAAAATCAAAAAATTTTTTATAATTAAGCCTAACCAAAAAAATAGGAAGATATTTAATATTGTTGGAAATTCTATTCTAATCAGATAAAAAACAAAATATTATCAAGGACCTTCTCTCACAAATCAGCTCCGATTTACCCCTCTCGTTTAGCCTCCATTTTTTGAAGTTATTGTTTAAATCCTTCAACTACAATAGGAAAACATAATTAAAAATTAATTTTGGCGGTTCCTGGGAAATCTCCGAGTATTCGGAATCAGAAACGATAACCGAACCGAAAATTTCAGGATATACGGATTTATTGGGTTCCGGAAAGCTGGAAATGCCAGCCTTATTACAATTACATATGTAAATATTATTTTGGTTTTCATAAATTATCTAAATTAAAGAAAAATACAAAGAAACAAAAATAATTTTAAAAAATATAAAGAAAATTAAAAATAAATTTATTTTATTTTATTGTTCACCATTTTTATATACAAAAGAATATTTTTATTTTTTAAAAATTTCCCCCCAACCATTATTTAATTTCTTTTATTCATTTTTAATAGCTTTTTTCTTTTTTTATTTAATTTACTAAATAAGTAATCAAATGCTTTTTAATAATAAAGATAGGGGAGGGGGGAGGGGAGTGATCACGCAATAAATAAATATTTTTAAATGATTGATATATTTATGAAATAAAAATTAAAAAGTAATTAAAATAAAAAAAAATAAGAGAGAAGGAAAGTGATGACTAAAATTAAGAAAAAAATATGAGGAAACAATTAATTGACAATTAACAAATAAAATTAAATGATATCAACAATTCTTTAAATAAATTTGTTGATTTAAATGGTAAAAAAATAATTTTTAAATGTGATAGCGAGAACAGGGCTGGGCGGAATTACGGATTGCGTGAAAGTGTGTGTTTTTTGACTTGCGGATTGCGTTTGCAGAATTTTTTTTCAATTACGCCGAGCCCTGGGGCGAATCAAAATTAAGGAGGCAATCGACAAACGATAGATTTATTTTTCACGTTTATCGTTCGAATAAGTCGTTTGTCTCCCTAATTTTGATTGGCCCCTGATCGAGAATCTTTTCTTTAAAAATATTCTTGCACGAGTTTAAAAGATAAATAAATAAAATAAAAGCTTTTTAATGATAAAATAAAGAGAAAAATAATATTTTTAACTGGTCGCGGTTTGCGTTAAACAACAAACATGCCTTTGAAGAATGATCGAAAAGAGAGAAGAAAAAAAAGTATAGATGTGAGCAAGCACTGCAATGGAGCAAAGTCCAGTATGGCGATAAAACGTAAAAAAGTGATTTGTGATATATTAATAAATAAAAAATATTTTCTTTTTGGTTATGGCGTGGGAAGAGAAGAATTTAAAGAAAAAATGATTTTGTCAATAAAGGAGAAAAAAAAGAGAGAAACACGAGTGAAGAAAGAATGAGATTTTGCCAAAAATTAATTAAATTTTAAATGTTAATTTTTTTGAAATTCATTCGTCGAATGTTTATCACTTAATTATAAAAAAAATTAAAGTCTTGAATTAAACTTTAATTAAATAAGACTATTCTCTCTCATTAATATTAACAAAAAATTTTCTAAAAATTTTTAATTTTTAAAATATTCTATAAAATAACCTTTAGTTTCTTTTTAAATATTTTTATTTCCTTGTATATTTTATATTTATATATAATATATTTATATATAAATGTTAGGATAAAAGTTTTAAGATTAACATTTTAAAAAAGCTTTTAAAGTATTTATAAAAAATTAACGAAAAGAAAAACATTTTTTGAAGGAACTTAATAAAAAAATATTTATTTTTAATCTTCTTAAATTTACATATACATATTTCCCTAAAAGTACAAATAACAAAATAATTCACAGAACAAAACAACCTTTAAAAATAAACTTTAAATGCTTTTGGTAGAAAATTGCAAAAACATTAGGGAATTTAAGTTCTCGTTATCTTTATTGTTTATCCAGTTCCAAATCTAGCTCGATAGTAGAGCTGGGGATTAGACCGGGAGTTGGGTGGGGGGCACAAAAAACACAATGTTTTTTGTGTTGATTTTTGGCCTTAATTGCTTTTTAAAATTTTTTAAATAGTTTTTTGCGTTCACCCTCTGGGGGTTTCCTGTAGTGTATTTCTTTCAAAATTGTTAGTTGTTGTACTTATTATAATTATTTTCAATAAAAAAGTAAAATTAAATATTTAATTTCTAGAAAGAAGAAATGACCATTTTATCAATAATATTTTTGATAATGTAAAAATATTAAAAATTAAATTTATGTATATCAGGTCTAGTGCGAATGTACCCAATACACACACACAAATAAATATACAATTTATTAAACTAAAAATTCTCTAATATTTTATGTAAAAATGTGTTGGGAAAGAGTGTTTAGTTTTATCTTAATTTTCTTTTTCTGTTTATCGTTAGGTAGTTTACTAATATTATTAATTATCTTTATTTTATTTTCTTATCAATTAATGATCAAATAAAAAAACCTTAGTTATAAAATACAAAAGTAATTTAAGTACAATCTATAGTACTATATACAGTTCAATTAAAAATTCTCTTTAGAATATTTTTTGGATTGAGTTCTTATAATTCAAATTCTTTAACATTTTTTACAATTTACTAAATAAAGACATACATAATTATTTAATATTTAAAGATTTGGATATTTTCAAATAATTTGTTTGAATTAAGTTGATTGAAGCTTAAAAATTGGTCGGGCTCTACAGATGGCAGAACAACCAAAATTACAAAAAAATTTTTGAATGACATACGATCAATACTAAATTTTTCCCCCACTTAAATAAAATAATTTTATTTTTTAAATTATTTTATTAAAAATAATATTATTCTCGTTTATTAATTTTCTAATTAGGTAGTGTTATGTTACAAAAATTTTTTGTTTAATTGATAGAATTCTAAAAAAATTTAATTTACGTTTAAAAATTACGTACCTATGTTCATATATACCTATGTTCAAGTATAAGAGTCACTTATAAATTTATAAGTAAGATTTTAAAAGGTTATACTTAGTTATACATATACATACATTTTTAACGAAATGTATAATCACGAAAATTGTTTCAGATAGTTAAAACTAGAGCGCGGACCGTACCGTACTACGGCCGTATTTTTCGGTATTTATCGATATTCCGTATCGGTAGTACGGTACGGAATACGGTACGGAACGAAATTCCGCGCTCTAGTTAAAACTGTTAATATTTTGTTAAATATTTATATTTTCTAAGTAGGTTTTTTTGATAAATTTATTCATTTCCTCAAAATTTAAAAAATTAATAAAAATTAATTTTTCTTTCTTATTTTCATTTCATTACAAAAAACAAAAAATAAATCCAATTTTTATGTAATATTTTTCTTCTTTCTAAAATTATTTAGAATTTCTGCATTGAGACAAATTTTGAAATGTAGCAATGCAGAGCCTTAAAATTAAAAATTGAAATGAAAAAAATTATTTAAGAATTTTAGGGTTTAATAATTTTTTAGAATTTGTGATTTAAAAAATTATTTTGGCAGGAAAATTTAAAAAGGGGAAGGAACAAACATTTTGCTCTGATTAAACAATAATGAGGATTTTGATTTAGCTTCGAGTTCCCAAAAATTATTATGCTTAATTAAAGTGAAAGTTGAAAGGTTAATTAAAAATAATTATTAAATCTCTCACTCTTATACAGAATTTTAAACAGTAATTTCTAAAAATATTTCACGTCAATTCCCCCAAAAAAATTATTTCAAAGTCAAAAAATACTTACAATCTGTCATAAATTTTTTGACGTCTCTGTAAATTTATATATTTTCGTGGTTGTCTTTGTGACAAATTTTTGTTTTGTAATTGTTCTAATAATTGTAATTCTTCTTCTCCTTGTTTTACTTCCAATTCTCTCGTTTTTCTTAATTCTCGGCGTTGTTCTGAATGTTCAGCCAAACTCTCTCTTAATTGCCGAAAACCAAAAACTGCTTTAGATGGACGTAACTTAAAATTAAAAAAAGTCATTAAGTGTTGTAAATATTTGGACTTTGAAGGGACCCTCAGACTTTTGTATTTTTAATAATATTTTGACTTTAATTTGTTAAATGTTTAGCAAAAATGGTGAAATTTTTGGAAAGTTTAGTTGAGGTTTAGTAAATATAAATAGAGGCCGGCGCAGGACAGGATCCTGCACAGGATTTTTCAGAATCCTGTTCGAAATCCTGTCTTTTTTCAGTTTTCAGGATTGCCGGGATTAATCCTAAGGGATCCTGTCCTGTTCGAAATTTTAAACCCATCCTGATATAGGATCCTGCAAATGTGATTTTACCGACCTCTAAATATAAATACCAAATTTAATAGTAACACAACAATCAAAAAATTCTTAATCCAAAAACATACATTTAAAAAATAATTAATTAATTAAAAATTCTCTCTAACCGTCCGAATCCCAACAAAAGAACGGCTGTTAGTTGGAAGAAATACTGAAAATGCTGGTTCAGAAAATGAATTTAAAGAAGCGTCATAAAATGGAGAATGTGGAGCCCCTGTTGAACAGGTTACCAAAAAAGAAAATAAAAAAGAAAACATTAAAATTAACGGAAATGGATGTTGTTTTTGTTGGTGATATTTAATTAATTTTTTTCTTAAATTTTCTTTAATTAAATCCTTGTTTATATTAATTTTGGAAGAAGAAAATGTTGATGTAGATGGATTAAATAAAATTGTGGGAGGAGGAGTTTGGAATGATGTCATTTTAATATTTAAATTAAATATTGAAAAGATTTTGTTGCAAATTGAAAAAAGATTTTTTAAAAATAATTTTTACCTAAAAATGAATAAATCGTTTAAAATTTAAAAAATTTTATTAAAAATATATTTAGAAAACAATAATATTTTTACTCTCAATTTAGAAATAAATAATCGGAAAATTTTAATGTTATATATCAGGGTTTTTTAAAATTTGTTTCGGCAACACAAACGAATAATCTGAACATTTACTGCAAACAATTTGAAGATTTTAAATAATTTCAACAAATATTCTAAAAATATTTCTGATTTTTTAAACAAGGAAATATATGCAAATATATATGTTAAAAAGCCATTTAATTTTAAATAAATATATAATTAATAAATGGGTGGAGTATAAATATACATATATAGCTTGGAATGAAAAATCAGAATAATAAATTAGAATTAAAAATGTAGAAAGTCAAAATAAAATAAAATTAGAGAAAATATTAGAAAGATTAAATAAATTCTGATGGCATTTAAAGAGCAGCTGAATTAAAAAGGGGAAAAAATCCTTCGGAAATAAGTAAAGAATTGTGTGAATTTTATAGAATTTTTAATTTTAAAAATAAATAAATAATTTATATTTTAAAGGAAATTTTAAGAATTTATTTTTGTAAATTTTTACGTAAAATATTTTTTAAATTTAGATTATATACCTAAATACATCTGTCTTGAAATTTTAAAAATTTACAGATGTCTAGCCTTTTTTGGAATCAGAAAAGTTTGAAAAATTATTTACAAAATGTTTAAAAATTAATCAAATAAAAACCATAAATAATTTTGCAGTCTTTAAAAAATTATTAAACGAATATAAAATAGTTGGAGATAGCCTGAGATCATTAAGGAGGTAAAAATTAGAAAGCATTAATTATAAGAAAGTGAATAAATACTATAATAAAAAATATAATAATACAAGATCCCATATGCCTAACACCCTCAAACTTTGTTATATCAAGAGTTATTGGAGTAGTAATGGATAATTTGGATAAATTGGATAAAAAAGAAAAACATTTTTAATAGAATATATATAATTATGTAGTTCTAAGAATTTCCAGTCAAAAAATAATATTCAATATGTATTATTGCTAGAAATATGTATATAAAATTTCACAATGTACTTTCAAAGTTGTATCGTTCCTAACAATATAAGTACATCCAACCTATTCAATCCTTTTTTATTTAACTTTATCCGAGCCCTCTAGATTAAAATACTTATTTTAAAGGAAACATTTTTATATTTTAAATAAAAATGTTTATAAAAATATTCTTATTTATTTATAAGCTGATTAAAGTATTCGCAAACAAACAACTAAAAAAGAGATTAAAGTAAAAAATGAATCCTTAAAAATATTAATTTACATGTTTTTAGGGGTTAAGGAAATGAAGTAAATATATTAATGAAATACTAACTAAATTTATTTGAAAATATTAATAATATGGTTGGCAGTTATTAAGAAATATCCGGATATCCGCGAAAAATCCTCGATTCCGGACCGTCACCCCTAACTAATAAAAATCTTTAAAATTAAATAAACACATTTAAAAAATGGTAGCTATTAGTGTTGTCAGTTCGGAAAGATAAAATTGAATTTAAATAAATAATCTGAGCTACTAAGGTTCTAAAAATAATTCAGACAATAGTAATTTAATCAAGAAGGTAAAAGATTTTAAAGATAATTTCGACTCATTTAGAGGGGAAACGGGGGTACAAACTTCATAAAATATTTAAACCCCCTTAGAGAATTTATAAGAATTTTCTTCTAAGCTTGCCAAAAAATCAGCGGGGATAAGAGAAATTTTTTATAAAAGCATTAAGGTAGTTTAAATATTTTTTAAGTACTTGACATCCATTTCCCGTTGATTTAGGAGTATTGAGATCCCGATTAAAAAGCATTTACAGACTTGGTTCATTTTGATCTTCTACTCGATATCGATGGAAATATTCAGAGATTTTTCAAAATTGATGTTTAGAAAAAAAACGAACTAAAATATTGGTTTTATAATTAATTACCACTCCATTTTTGAAAGAAATATAAGAAAATTTCTAAGTTTATTTTATATTTTGAAACTTTCATTATCTGACAAAAATTCCAGGTCATTTAGTCAGTTAAAACTTTGAGTAACTACAAAAAAAATTCATGGCCTTATAATCTCTTAATAGACTTTAATTAGATTTTTCTTTTTATTTATTTACAAATTTTTTAATATTTGGATATAAAAAATGTAGGAAAATATTTATTGCAAAATTATAATTTTTTATAATATTTTAATTATAAAATATTAAAATTAATAAAAATGTAAATTTACAAAAAAAGCCGGAATAACTAAACAAAAAACAGAAAAGCGTGGGTGATTGTGTTGGTGGACAGATGTCATTACCGGAAGTGAAAAACGTCGGTTATGTTAACACCCTCAAACAATTTTTATAAAAATAAAACAAAAATTTATTCCCTTTTTTTGTCTTCCATATAAAGTTAAAAGGACATCCGAATAAAATTTTAGATTTACAAACAAAAATGGTAGAAAAAGGAAAAAATTGAAAAGAATAAACGGAAACAAAAACAAAAAAAATGGCGTGGATAATTTTTTGTTTTGGGTGTTTTTCTGTTATTTTTTGTATTTGTTGATTTTAGAAAATATAAAAATGGACTTATAAAAATATTAAAATATTGTTTGGAGATTTGAAGGATCAAAAATAGAGCCTAGAGATACTAACGAAGCTCTGACCCACCTCTGGTACTAACAAGGTATTTTGTGGTATTTACGGTACGGAATAGGTATGGTAGAAAATTTTGGGGGCTACTCAAAAATATGAAAAATTTAAAAGCAAAAAGCAATTAAAGAAGGTAAATTTTCAATTAAATTTACTTAAAAGAAAAAATTATAATTTAAAAATATACATAAAAGTGTTTAGAATTTTATTTAAATAAAAATTTCAAAATAACAAAAAAAATATTGTCTGAATCCTTTCAATAATTTATAGTTTAATTAAAAACCTTTTTTGGTATTTCTTTTTAAATCCTTTGCTTTCCGGCAATTAATTTAAAGGAAGAGCGTAGAATTTTGCACTAAAATATAAAAAAAGGAAATATTGAAGAAAATAAAGGGTAAATAAAAATTAAAAAAAAATATATTTATTTTTCAAAAAAAAATTTTTTTTTGAAATTTTTAAATACAAAAAAAGATTTCTTTTAAAAAATAAATATTTGTAGTTATTTCAGCACTCCGAGAAAAATAAAAACAATTAAATTAGTTAAATATATGTACGCAATTTAACGCAAATTTAAATACTAAAAAGGAATAAAAATGCCAATTTTGGAATTATATTTGTAGTTTAAAATGTGCTGGATTTTAGAAAAAATATGTGAAAATGAAAACACAAAAATATTTAAAATTAATAAAGAAATTATTAAACTTTAAAAAATAAAAGAAAATAAATAAATAAATAAATAAAATAATTGTTTAAAAACTTTAATTAAATTTTTCTCATTAAAAGCCAGTTAAAAATTTTCCCAACAAATATTACGTAACCTTTTCGTTTCCTGTATAGTTGTCGTTATTAATGACATAAAAATTATTTTATTTAAATATACTGCGAATTAAAAAATAAACTAAATAACCTTTTATTAAATAATTAAAGTTGTTCAAAATTCTTAGTCTCGTGTCATGATTTAAAGCTGTTGGGGATTCTCTAAAAATATTTCTTTTTAATCAAAGTAAATATCGAAGAGGTCATTTTAAGACTTCATTTAGTTGACATTTTTCGTAAAAATATTTTAATAAATAAACTGCGTAAACTGCGTTAATACTAAATTATGTACACTCCTAAATTTTGCATACTTCTTTTCATGCTCTAACCATTTTTTAAATTGTATATATTTTTCATTTAAAAATAATATGTTTTGGTAAGTTAAATTCAAAATTTTTTGAACTTTTATTGAAATTTTTTTATTTTTTAGCACAATTGACGTTTTTATAATATGTAGAATTAATATATATTACAAAAACATATTATTTTAAAATCAAAAATATGTAAAAAATTTTAAGAATTGTTAAATCTTGAAAAGAATAAATAATAAAATTTAGGAGAAGTTGTGCTATATATTTAGTATAATTAAAATAATATTTTAATTATTATTTTTTTAAATTTTATTTAAAAGTTACTTTATAAAAATTAAAAAAGTTTGCTGACATTTTATTAAAAATAAAATAAAATTTTTTATTTAAATAAAAGCTTAAACATTCAAAGAGAAAAATTTTGTATTATATTTATTTATTTATAATAAACAAATAAATGTAAATTAAATTTAAATATTATTATTAAGGTAATATGTAAATAATTAAATATTTACTCAAACAAATATTTATGCCCTTTCAATAACCTTTAAAAATATATTTAATATTTGTAATATTTTTTGTTATTAAATATTAAATTAAAATATTTATTAAAAAAATTATTGTTTTTTAAGTTGAAAAATAAATTTTCATTTTTTAATATTTAAAAAGAATTTTGGAAATTAAATAATTAAAAATTTAAATATTCTTTTAAGTTTTGCCAAATATTCTCTCAAGTTTGAAATAAATAAATTAAGTAAAAAATAGATATTAAGATCAAAACTCTACAAAGTATTTGAAGCTTTCAATGAAACAAGGAATTGGACAATTATTTAAAATTCTCTCAGTTTTACATAGTAGCGACAAACAGAACCGAATAATTTTTAAATAATTTATTAGAACAATATAGAGTTTTCATTACAGTTTTACGAGTATCTATTTTATACAAAAAAGTTAAGCGGAAAATTCTTTTTAACTGGAAAGACGATTATGTTGTCGGACGTTGTCAAAAATTTGAAAAAAACTAGTCAATAATTAAACAATAAAATAAAAAAAAATCCATCATTGATTTTGATAGTTTGATTTTGATTGATTTTGACATCATTGATTTTCATCGACTTGATTTTGTGGTTGGCAATTTTATAATGCGTTGATATCACACTTAGAGAGAATTTTTACATTCATTTATTTTTTATATTTTATACATAAAAATTTTTATATTTAATAAATTACCGTATTTCCTGTAATATTACTCCCCCCCTAAATTAGAACTCCTCTTTTAATAATACTCCCCTTTGGAAGAGGGTTGAAAAATAGTACTCCCTGAAGAAGTATTAAAGGAGGAAATACAGCATATCTAAAATTAAATTTTAACGCAATTTAATTTAAATTTTATTAATTTCTAAATTTATTAAAATTTAGAAAATAAATTAAATATATTAAATATAAAATGAAATGGTGTTTTTATTGCAAAATAAAAAATAAATTTTAAATAAAGTTAGCTCTATATAAATTTCCAAAATAAAATGTTTTTTATTTAAATTAAATTTATAATGAAAATATTTTTTAATAGAAAAACAAGTGAAATCTATGTATTTTTTTTAATTTTTTATTTTATTAATGAAGTAATTGATTAAAAAATGAAATTAATTTTATCTGTTTTACCGTTTATTTTGGGATTGTTCTTTTCTCCAGGCAAGTAATTTTTTGTTTTAATCAATTTTTATCTCCTTTTGGCCCGTTTATTAATACGGATGATGTTTCTCTATGCTTAAAGTCGAACATATAAATAAACCTAGCCTATTCTGAAATAGTATTTTATGGATAAACTGACAAAAATTAAGAAAAATGTTGGAGAACATTCGTATATAAATTTTCCTTTTGACTATAAAAATATTAAGTTATTGGATATTAATTAGTATTTTTAAATTTAAGGAATATTCGGTGGTTGTTTTCACAGCAATAGAAGAGGAGCGCACAAGGAATATGAAAAGGCATTAGGTTTTTGAATCAAAGTTTTGAAATTCTTAATAGAATTTAGAAATTTTTATTCCTCAATAATTTTTAAGTTTCTAACATTTTCATGTATATAATTCAATAAGTAGATAAATTAGAAAGAGAGAGCCGTACCATTTTCAAAACACTAAAATAGAGCAAATGACCTGTAAATAAGGGTAAAAGGGTTGCCCAAAGAGAGAGATAATTATTTTTAATAGTTATCCTTTCCAAATTAATTTTGCTCGAATTATTTAAATAAAAACTTTAAAATAATCAGCAACAACATCTCATGATGGTAATGCCCGATGCAATTGTGGTCTATATGGGCTTGAGCAGTTAAACGAATACATTGATATTCAATCAATTGGTTTGCATTTTAATATACATGAAACAATTGGAGCTGGAATATTTGGAAATGTAAGAGAATTTAATTTAATCGAAATATATTTAATGAAAATGATTTAAAAATTATATAAATTAGATTCCCCTGAGGAGTGAATTCTTCTTGTAATGTTTAAGTTATTCTGTTAATTTCTCTCGGTTATTATCAGGAAAATTTTAAGAAATATAATTTGAGATAATTGAAGCTCTAGACTTTTTTGCACCGCAAGATCAACCCTCTTCTCTATCTCCATCTACATTTCTCTCCCTCCAGTTAATTACCTTTCTTTATTTCAAGGTTCATCATGCTTATTGGCAAACATATGGTATATGTGTTGCCTTGAAGATTTCCGATCAAGACAATCTGGTCGATAATGAAATTACAATGCTTCAGCATTTTGCTAATCATGGAAATGAATTTGTTGTAAATATGTATGGAAGGTATGTATATTACAACAGGATAAATTTTAATTTAAAAAATATTTATTTCACCAAAAATTCGAATTTCTTACATACTCCAATTAGTTAAATGGTGACTGTTAACTGATATCGCCCCCTGACTCTGTAAAAACACCTATAAATTTTTGATATTTTTTATTTAAGTCAGGAACATCGACATAAAATGTTCGCTGTATTGGAGCTTGGAGGACTAAATTTGTATGATTATTATGTTACCTAATGAAGAAATATATGCTAGTGAAGATAAATATGAGATTGTTGAAAATATTACAAGAGCTGCTGCTAGAGCACTAAATGGATTACATCAAAGTAAAAATAAATATACTATGTAGCTGTTAAAATTTAAATATTTTTACAAAAATTTAAGGAGAAGTTATTCATTTGGATATTAGTAGTTAACCACCCCCCACCGTCGCGGCTGTCAATAACTGACCCTTTTCCTTTTGGGGTAAATTATTGCCAGCTGGACAACGGAAACCTACTAAACGGTTTGTAACATTATATCTTTCCGCAATTTTGTAATTAATCCCTTTGATGATGCCGACAAGTACATTATAGCAAATTAGTTTTTTCGCGCAAAATTTTTAAATGCCACGTTGGAATCTAGTGAAGGTTAATTAATTTAAAGATACTAATTATTTTTCTTTTTGATGAACCCGACAAATTTTAATTACTTAATTAAAAATTGTCTTTTCTCACGACGGTGATTTTTTAAAGCTTATGAAACCCCTATTAAATACAAATTGTGTTCCCACGACGGTGATTTTAGGTCCCACACGGTGACTTTTTGTTTAAAAATTTTAAAAGCAATTTGTAATAAAAATTTCTTTTTCCCCCACGACGATGATTTTCGCGCAAACCCTCTATAGTAAAAAACATAGTAAATACAAAAAATTTTTTCGCGCAAAATTTTTTAAAGACATACAGTGTAAACCTTGAGTCAATTAATACAAGGATACTAATTGGTACACATATCTTTGATGTGCCGAAAACTTTTTTTAAACTTTAATTTAATTGTTAATTTTTATTATATTTTAACTAAATGTTTTCCCATCATAAAAGTTTAAATAGCGTGCCACAAAAAAGTTTAATTTACAATAGCAAACTAAATGCTCCCCGCAAAAATTTTTTAGGAGAAATGGTAAAACTTAAAATTTATAAAAATATAAAAATTAATTTAGAAAATAAAATCAAGTAAAGTTATTGTCATCTGTATAATAACAATGGCAGATGTGGACAATAAACGAAAAAATAATTGTTAAATAGTAAGAGAATATTTAAAATGAAAATAGGATAAAGGAAAAAAATAGGAAATCGAGCAAATGAAAGTGGGAAAGGGGCAACTTGCCAAAATAATTATAATAATGGCGCGTCATTGAGAATGTTAAACAAATAATTAATGATTAACAAATAAAATGAAAATCGTAATATGCTTTACCTATAAAGCAGATGTTCAATAATTAGTCTTCTTAACTTATCTACAGCAAATAAAAATAAAATTTCCTTCCAATTTAAAAGGAAGGCTTAGAGAAAATAAATAAAAATGTAAATGAAAAAATGAGGGAAAGTAATTTAAGAAGTAATTTAAATCCAATTCTTTTAAAATAAAATTTTTATGTAAGGAGAGATATTTCTCATTTCTCGAATATGTATATCCAAATGAAAGTCTAGGGAATGGGGATAGCCATATATAGACATGTCTTGAAAAAAGGGGCGTGGCTATTCTGCAAACTTTTTTAAACTAAAATTAAAATTTTTAAGGTTAAATTAAATTTCCTACCATTTTCTAAAATCATTCTTAAAATTTTTACAAAAAATAATGGCAATCAATATGTCCAACAAAAAAGCTCTCATAGGACAAATTCTCCCCGAAATAGAATTTAATATTACTGCTAACGGTCTAACAATTTCTGCTTCTGAGCGTATTTCTACTCCACGTTTTGTGCCTTTTGACCATGCTGGACGTTGTCGAGAATGCAAGGGATCTGAAGTGGAACTCGACTTTGTTGTCACCAAAGAGGGGGTGACTTGTTATTGTACGCGAATTAAAACACCCACGTTCATACCGTTCGACACCATCCATGATCTTCCAGGCCACTGCTTTTTTAAGGTATTTATTATTAATATGAAAATTTATATTTTTTAAAATTATAGATCAAGAACAAGGGTCGAATCTTCAACATTGAACTTGGATCTCCACCATGTGCAGCGACTCCTATTATTAAAAATATCCAGCCCGAGATAAAAGAAGTTGAAGTATCAACAATAAAGCCGCCTTCGCCTAAGAAGATAAAGCAAGAAATTCCCGCGGATGAAGAATTTGAAAATATTCTTCAGGAATTTTTCGACAACATAGGCTGTACCACTACTACTTCTACTACTACAGCCACTGTTCGATAGAAAAAGAAAAGAGTGAAGAAAAAATTACAAAAGAACAACAAAAAGAGGTTATAGAAAGTCCCCCTCATATTGTAAATTTAGATAATATACCGCTTCCTTGATTTGTAAATCCTAATATTAATAAAAATCATTTATTTGTATTACTATTATTTATTTATTTTAATGGAATCAATTAATTTCTCTAGTAAAGAATTAAAATTTAAACTTCCATTCGGTCTAATTATTTCTGGACCAAGTTCCAGTGGAAAGAGTACTTTTCTCCTAAGATTTATTACCCAATCATTAGATTTAATCGATCCTCCTCCTAAAAGTATTCTCTATTGTTTTGGTGAAATGAGTAACATTATTCCAGTTCTTCAAAAATCTGGTGTAAGTGTTTTCGCTGGTGTGCCGCCCGAGGATGTAATTAAAAGACTTCCAAAACCTTCTCTGGTTATTTTAGACGATTTATTGCTCTCTATTGATGAAAAATATTTGTCAGAATTATTCACTAAAAAGTCACACCACCAAAATTTTTCTATAGTATTTGTGACACAAAACTTATTTGAAAAGAAAATTAAAGTTGCCCGACAAAATGCACAGTATATAGTTATTATGCGTTCTCCAAACTCTGTTCTTTCCGTCAGAAACATTGGTTCTCAACTTTTTCCCAAGAAGTTAGATTATTTTCTTGATTCCTATAGGCAAGCTACAAATATTCCTTATGGATACCTTTTAATTGATATGCATGCTTCTTCAGATCCAACATTACGTTTGCGTACTAATATTTTTAAAGACGACAACGAAAAAATAATTTTCATTCCTAAAAATGGGGTCTAAATCTCAGTGCAATATTAGTTCACTTATAATGGATAATAAAGATTTTTTAAATTTATTGGCAAAATCTAAATCGGATAGCAAACGTCATCGCATGCTTAAACAGGCTAACAGTCAACAACTTCTTGCTATAGCAGAAATATGTTTGAATATTGTAAAAGCGCGTTATCAACTAACTACTCGCCAACGGAAACGTCTTTTACCATATGCCGAATTTGTCCGCCGCATGAGTCGTGCTAGAAGTGAGAGAGGAGCAAGAAAAGTTATTTCACAGAAGGGAAGTGGGATAGGAGGTGTCCTTACAGCTCTTCTTACCCCTATACTTATAGAAATTGGAAGAAAAATTATAAAAAGTGATACCGATACAAATTAACTATTCATTTATATTATCATTATTCATTTTAAAATTTTAATAAAAATTAAGAAATATGGCAAATAAATTTATTCTTGTCCCAGAGGATATTTATCGTGGTCTTACAACAAGCGATGTAGGTGAACCAAATCTAGATTTTACTCGTCGTGCTTTAGAAAGATCTAAAAGAAGAAAAGAAAGTGAATCTTCCAAGAATGTTCACTATAATCAAGAGTTGAGGCGATATTTACAATTAAGAAATGAACGCGAAAATAGACCAGTAAAAGTTGAACTAGTTAACAATAAATCTAGAGGCACTATTGTACCCAAAAATAATTCACGGCGCGCATCTTACATCTCTGCAAATGATGACATAGATAACGACGACAATTGGATTAGTGATAATTCTTTTTCATATTATCCCCAAGAACCCCCTAATCAAGCATACAATATTGTTCCTTCTCTTTCTTCATCCTCCAATCATTCAACAACTAAAAGTGATCAAAATATACAATTAGATCCAAGACCTACATCAAATCAAGCATTAGAAAAAATTTTGAAAAATAATGGTAAAAAAATTAAAATAAAAAGAGAGATAAAAAAGAAAAGGAAACCAAAGAGAAAAACAAATAAAAGATTTTCTCCACCTGAAGATATTGTAGAACCAAACTCTGTTATTGCATCACAAAATGCACCATTAAGTCCCTCTCCCCCCATACCTCTAGAAGTATCAAAGAGAGAATTAGACTCGACTGACCCAGATGTGTTTAAACGTAGAAGAAATAGTAATCCTAGGCAAGAAAGATTAAAAGAGATTGCGCAAGAAGAGAGAAGAAGAAAAGTATTAGAAAGAAAAAGAGATATTAAAAAATATAGAGTTCCTATAGACCAAGCAGTTTTAGCTCAATTTAGAAAGGAAGATGATATTAAAAGACGTCAAAAACTGAAAAGAAAATTTGTTATTCCTGAAGGAACTACACTTATCCCCTTTAAAAGAGTTAGAAGACCTGTTACAAAGAAACAATCAGAAAATGCATCAAAAAGTTGGATTAAAAGATTAGCCGCTGCAAGATTCAAATTAGGAAAAAATAAATGGGCAAAACAAAAACCTACACAAGAGGATATTAATAAATTTAAACCTACACTTTGGTAATTTTTAAAAATGGCTGATTTTACAAAACTTCTCGACAGACTTTACAATGATCCCAATTCCGCTTCAGCTTATGCAGGCATAGATAGTTTATGGAGAGAGGCAAAGAAAACTTTTAAACATATACCAAGAAATGTAATCAAACATTATTTGAGGGGCACCGTACCTCTACCCTTATGCGTCAAAAGAGGGTGCATTTTAAAAGAAGTAAAACTATTGCATCAGGGTTTATGACAGATATACAAATAGACTTAGCTGATATGCAATCTCTTTCTACACATAATAAAGGAAATCGATATATACTTTTGGGAATAGATGTATTGTCCAAACGAGTCTTCACTACTCCTTTAAAATCAAAGAAATCAGAAGACATGTTGGAAGCCTTTCGCATTTTTATTAATCAAATGCCTATGAAACCCCACAGGATATTTTCTGACAAAGGGACTGAATTTAAAAATCGATTATTAAAAGAATATTTTGAAAGAGAAGAAATATCAAAATACGAAGCAACTCATTCTACAGTAAAGGCATCGCTAGCAGAAAGGGCTATTAGAAACTTAAAACAAAGACTTTACCGTTATTTCTCTCAAAATCACAAACTTAATTGGATAGATATTTTACCAAAAATTATTGAAGGAATTAATAAGTCTTACTGTCGTGTGCATGGAATGCGTCCAATAGATGTGAATTTTAAAAATGCTCAAAAAGTATGGGAGAAAATTTATGGAAATATTTTTTCAACTAAAAATTCAAAGAAACCAAAATTTAAAAAAGATGATTACGTAAGAATAAGTCGGGACAAGGGTCATTTCGAAAAAGGCTATTTACCAAATTGGGGAGATGAAATATTAAAGGTGGAAAGAGTTAAAGACCATGTGAACCCTATATTATATAAATTGCGCGATGATAAAGGGGAGAAATTCAAAGGATCCTTTTATGAAGATGAAATGTCTAGAGTAAGAAAAGATGCGGCAACAGAGTACCGCATAGAAAAAGTTATCCGAAAAAAGAAAAGAGATGATGGAACATATGATATACCTGTTAAATTTATTGGTTACCCAGAAAGAGAATGGATTCATGAATCGAATTTAGTATAAAAGATAAATCATTTTTTCATTTTGTATCATTTTAACAAATTTAATAAAAATGTCAAATAGCTTTTTCGTATTTTTACCAAGTAATGTCCCAGATTATTCATCAAATAGACCAAATAAATTCCGTGTACATTTACCAAAGCCACTTTATTTTAATGGAAATTGGGTGTGTGGATTACACAGTATAAGTTATCCTTATTCATGGCCCTCAACTATTGGAACTTTGGATGAACAATGGTTAAAAATACACTTTACAGATGATTTAGGGCAAAAACATATTCTTCGTATACCAATCCCAGGGGCATCACATACCAACGTTCAAAAATTATCTGATTTTTTAAATTCAACCCTTAAACATCAAATTACAGCAATAGACCATGTTTTTGATCCGGATAGTTCGTCGAAAGATTTAATTGTTTCCCCTCCAAGATTAGAAAAGAGAATAAAAAGACATGTTCCTTCTTCACCACCACCAGTACCAAAAGAGAGTCAAGTATTTAATTATTTTTTTTTTCAAAAATTTTTTAATTACTTTTCTTAGCTATCATCACCACCAAGAATAGCAGATGTAAAAAAAGAATTAAATAAAGGTCAAAAGGTTATTGTTCCTTCCTCCCCTCCAAAAACAGTGGATAAAAATGTTCAAAAATTAGATGAAGGGAATAAGAAAATAAAATTGACACAAGACCAACCAAAACAAGAAAAATATGTTGCGCAACCCAATAATGAGGGAAAAATAAAAACCAATGAAAATATTCCATCTCAAAAACCTTTAAAAACAGATGGTCAGAAAGTGGAAGCAAAGAATGAGAAAAGTCAAATAAAAGGTGAAAAGGTCATTACTACGCCAACCCCTACTAAAATTGAAAAAGATGGAAAAGATCCAGAACCCAAATCATTAGAAAAAATAGAAAATGATAGAATTAAGAAAACAATTGTAACACCTGTCATCACTACTCCCTTCTTCTCATTAGGATTAGCAGAAATTGAAGAAGATGAAAACAATAAAACAAATAAAGAAGAGGAAGAGTTTGAATTTTCCATAGGAAGCGAAACTGTGTCGGATAACAATAATTACAGTGATAGTTCAAAATTCTTATTATTGAGGGGTGGTATACGATTAAGTGGAAATTTGACCCTGCTCAAAAATATTATAGACTCAATTGTTTTTGAATACAACATAGATTTTGCAAGATTTAGACTTTTATTTAATCATGAAAATATTGATCACATTTCTTTGTCACCACAATTAGGATATGTTCTAGGATTTGAAAATCCTCAAAATATTAAAAACAAGGAAGTTGCAAAATATGGATCTGATCTAAGGGGAGGATTTTCTAGTTTTGCTGTATATGCAAATGGTCTTACAGAGAACATGATTATTGGGAATTCACTCAGCTCTCTTCTGCGAGTAGTTTCAGTCTCTGGCGCAACACCAGGAGAATATAGCGAAAAGATTTATGATACACCCATATATGCCCGTGTCCTACCTAGAGAGATTAACGAGATAGAGATCGAGTTAAGAACATTGGATAATGGACGATTAGTTCCTTTCGCATACGGAACAGTTTTAATAGTATTGATATTCAAAAAAGTGATAAATTTTTAAAATCCATCCATTTATTGTATTCATTCATTTTTTTTTCATAAATTTAATTTAATAAAAATGGTTCATATTAGTTGATGGCAGAGAGGCGAAATTTTTCTCCGTCTCTGATCATGCGGGGCAAACCGTAGAAGAGTTTAAAGGTGAATTTTGTATATGGGGGAAAATTTTTGGAGGGATAGCTGGATCCTGTTATGGATCCGAAGCAGAAGCAAGCTTCTGTTTCAAATTTTTTGTTTTAAGTTCCGAATTTTTGAAACTTTAAGCAAATATGCTTCGAGTTTTGAATTTTCGAAACATGAAGCAAATTTGTTTCAAGTTTTGAAATTCAAAACCTGAAGCAAATTTGCTTCAAGTTTAAAAAAATTCAAAACTTGAAGCAAATTTGCTTCAACTTTTTAATTTTTGGTTTGTGAAGCAAAAATGCTTCAACTTTTTTAAAATTTTGTTTTCAGTGGACCAAAGTGGAAGGATGAGTCCGAATGAGAGAAACACGAGGGCCGAAGGCCCGAAGTAATTCTAAGTGGAAGAATGAGTCCGAATTGACTCTAAGTGAAAGGATGAGTTCGAATAAAGGAAAGACAGTGGTCTAAGTGGAAGAATGGGTTCAATCGAGGGGAAGACGAGGGCCGAAGGCCCAAAGTGCTCTAAGTGGAAAGATGAGTCCCAACGGGGGAAAGAAAGGACCGAAGGCCAGAATTGACTCTAAGTGGAAGGACGAGTCCCAACTGCGGGAACACGAGGAGCTGACACCCTCTAAAAGAGAGGCGAGGGAGAGGGTCCTCATCGTTATAGGAATAG